TTTATTTATTTATTTTCCCCTCAAAGCCCCAGTAGATAGTTGCATGTCATAGCTGCACATCCTTCTAGTTGCTGCATGCAGGACGCGGCCCCAGCGTGGCTGGAGAAGCGGTGCGTCGGTGCACTCCCGGGACCCAAACCCGGGCTGCCAGCAGCGGAGTGTGCGCACTCAACCGCTAAGCCACAGTGCCGGCCCTGGAAGTCCGTTTTAAAGGCTTTGAGTAGTTTACGGTTTTTCTTTGGAAACATCCAATAATGTATACCAGGCATGTTTTATAAGATTTTCCTGCTTCTCCTTTGTAAGGAATTTAACATCCCTAATGAAATGGGCTATTGTGTGACCATTCTCTGTTCTATCCTCTGCCCCAGTCACACTGCCTTCTGAGTATTAGCTTCTTAATAAACATAGTGAGGAATCACTAGAAGGAGTCATAAAGGATGGGAGCAGTAACAATGCTCTTAGGGTAAGTAAGTTCATAAGGCTGATGGGAACAAGAGGGAATAGAGGAGGCTATGCCAGTAGGAGGCAATAGCTGAAACTAAGGCACAGCTACAGAAATTCATCCTCGATCTCAGAACATTTTTTTCTTGCCAAAAAGATTCAAAGTAACAAGACACAAAAATCAGAAGGGGAAGTGAGTTCTTCATACAGGGAAAAACGTAGTGCAGCTAGGGCTGGGCAATCCTAAGGCATTTTGTCATATGTGTGCTTGGGAGCAAGAGTTAGTCTTTGTTCCAGAAATTTCGAACAAGTCTTTTTTGACAAAATGAAGGGTGAGGTATTTAACTAAAGTCCTATAATGGAATTAGTGTTTAGAAATGGCCAGTCTACTGATTATTTTGCATCTTGGAAAGTAAGTCTGATGTAATTATCAAGGACAAATTGACATGGTTAATTTTTTTTTTTAACTTGAGAGTCAAGGATGCACAATACTGAAGAGAAAATTCAAACTCCTGTAGCATGCATGACGTTTCTGCATGCTATTCCTGTAAGATATGCCTGGAAAGACCTGGAAGAATTATGAGACAGTCAGTGGCTTGATTCTAGTTTCATTTTGGAATCATTGGCCTCTGCAATCCCAGCCCCACCGATCTTGTTGTGGTTAATAGAAATAAAGAATGCTGGAGCCTTGTCTTCTACTCGGCTCACAGTTAGGGAAAGGAAGGAAAGACAGTCAGGTTAGCCAGGACTGTGGACAGTGAGGGACCTCAACCATAGTTGTTCTGTGACACTGAATGATGGGCACTTTATACCTGTGCACGGATTTGGCACTTTTGCTTCAGATGAAGTAAATGGAGGCCAGGAAACTGGAAGGTTGAATGCAACCAGCCTGAAAGGATGGTCAGTAGACCCATGCCACCATGCCTGGTGCACTTTGGGTTATTTGGAAGGACTCATTTGAGCTTCCATTTCACCATCTCTAACTTTTCACTAAGTGGGATGAGAAGCTGTTGACTCTGGGGATTCAGAGAGTGGGTATTTTGAGATGGATATTATCATTATTATTATTTTGGTTACTTAACATATATTGAATGCTTACTATGTGTTTTAATAACTTTCCATGATTTACCTTTAATTCCTCAACAACTCTCTTAGCTAAAGTGTTATTCTTATTTCTTACACATGTAAAATCTAAGCTGAGGCTGCTCTTCTTGCACTCATCTGCTGCCTCAGTCCGTGTCACTCTGCTCTTTGTTAGAAACTCCTGATGGGCTGTGGGCATAGGAGGAAAGGACAAGTAATGTGACTAGTTCGTAGCAGCTTTGCAGTGGGTTTCTCAGGGCTGGAAGTATTTGCCAAATAATTTGCCAAATCTTTCCTTTCTTCATATCAGAAACCACTATTATTCTAAGCTTTGTATTTAGAAAGGAAGAATTAGCAAGCATAAAGTAACAATGGAGACAGAATTGTGCTTCTCACCAAGTGTATTCATCACACATCCACATAGTTGACTACAATGCACTTAAAATGTCAAAGTCTGGTCATGGTGAGGTAGGGGCAGCCTTGGGGTTGCTTGGGAGGATTGCCCCCATAATGACGGAGACCAATATACTCCCTCTTGGTAGAGCTATGACATGAAATATCAATAGCTAATAGCTGTCAGACAGGATGTGTTTGTTTGCGATGACATAATTTACCATTGTATCCACCATTATAGCTTAAGCACAGGGTATGTCTTACCTATGTTATCTCCAACTTTTATTACTATTGTTAAAGACAGAAAAGGACCACAAAGAATATAATAGGTGATGTTTCATGGGATCCTATAATGATAAATCCAACTGTGTGTAGCCCTTACACAGTAATGCTATCTGAGGGACTGTGAAAAGAGGTGGACATTCAGAGATAGAATGTTATTAGTCTCAGTAAAGATGAATTACTGCTTCCATCCCCAGTTAGATAGAGAGTTTAATACAGTCAAATTGCCCCCCAGGGTCTGGCTTGTCTCCTCAAGGAAGGGTACTTTACCAGACTCAGTGTCAGTCTCTGCTTCTGCTGATAGGTCACTCATCTCAAAATAGTAGGAAGTCAAACAGCCCTTGTGATAAGTAGCCCATGCAGTTGACCCATGCATAGTCTTAGTCCCTTGCATCATGTCTCTTCCATACATTGGCTCATTGTGTAAGTCCTGGAGTGATCAGGTATAGATGCTAAGTAGCATCAAGTGGACAAAACATCCTCTTCTCCTAATTGTTGAGATCCTCTCCTGAAGACCCTGGTGGTGATAGAAATCCCCCAGGCAGAGTCGTAGGAGCTCAGAGTTGGAAGTCTGGGTCAGTGTACAGGGATATGTTGAGAGCCAAGCAGGTATAGGTAGAGTGATGACTGTGTCTGTCACAAGAGTGGACCCCATATAGTACATTTCCCATTTCACTCTCCCCACAACCTTTCTGAAAATTAACTATTATTCTCCCTTTAATCCAATTGGTACATTTTGCTTTAAAAATTTTTTCAGCGTCAGTAAGGTAAAGTTGACAAATAAAATTCTGATGATTAAAGTATATGATACGATGATTTGGTACAAGTATACATTGTGAAATGATTCCCCTCATCAAGTTTAACACATCTATGACTTCATGTTTTTACCTTTTTATTTTTTCTGGAGAGAACATTTAAATTCTATTCTCTTAACAATTTTCAATTATACAATACAGTGCTATCAACTACAGTTACCAAGTTATACATTAGATCCTCAGATCTTATTTATTTTATAGCTGAAAGTTTGTACCGTTTTGCCAATCTCTTCTCTTTTCCCCCAATCCCTAGGGCCTAGCAACCACTTTTCTGCTCCCTGTTTCTGTGAACTGGAATTTCTTTTTCAGATTCCACCAAACATTATTTTTCTTTCTCTATCTGGCTTATTTCACTTAGTAAAATACCCTCCAATTCATCTATGTTGTTGCAGATGACAATCTTTCCTTCTAGATCAAAGCTGAATAACATTCCATTGTGTGTGTATGTGTGTATATGTATATGTATATATATATATATATATATATATATATATATATATGTATGTATGTATGTATTTATAAGTACAGATATCTCTTCAACATAATGATTTTGTTTCCTCTAGAAAAATACCCAGAAGTGGAATTGCTTGATCATAAGGCAATCCCATCTTTAATCTCTTGAGGCACCTCCAGACTGTTTTCCTCAGTCTGTACCACTTTACATTCCTAGCAACAGTGCACAAGTGTTCCCTTTTCTCCAAATCCTTGCTAGCATTTGTTCTCTCTTGTCTTTTTGATAATAGCCATCCTAACAGGTGGGAGGTGATATCTCATTGTGGTCTTGCTTTGCACTTCCCTGGTGGTTTGTGATGTTGAGCATCTTCTTAGGTGATCTTTAGCCATCTAAATGTCTTCTTTGGAAAAATGTCTTTTCAGGTCCTTTGCCCATTTTTAAATTGGGTTATTTATTTATTTATTTTGCTATTGAGTTGTATGGGTTCCTTGTATATTTAGAATATTAACCCCTTATCAGATATGTGATTAGCAAATATTTTCTCCCATTCCATAGGATGCCATTTAATTTTATTGATGGTTTCCTCTGCTCTGCAGAAACTTTCTATTTTGATGTAAATGTAGCCCTGCCTGTTTATTTTTGCATTTATTGCCTTTGCTTTTGGTGTCAAATCCAAAATAAGATTGCCAAGACCAAAATCAAGGAGCTTACCACTAAACTTTCTTCTAGGAGTTTTAAGCATGTCTCTTTTCTTAATGGCTAAATCCCCAGGGCTTCAGGATCTAGCATAATGTCAGTCACACAGAAGGCACTTAATAAATGCTTGTTGCATAAATGTTGAATGAGAGCACCTGGGGAATGAAGGATAAAAAAACAATCATGAATGACTTTAAGAGCTCAATTGGGTGGAAACTGGTTAGGTTATGTACCAGTATTATGGACTCATTTCCAATTCTAGCTAAAAATAGATGCTGATATCTGTATCTATATCTTTAGAATCTATGTCTATATCTATATCTATCTATATCTTTCTACATCTGTATCTGTAAAAGTTTTCTCCAAGTGTCAGAAGTTTTCCTGTTAGTTACTCCCTTACAATGAATTCTTTATTTACTGAGACTTGATTTTCCTTGTTCCATGGTGAAGCCCATTTCATGAATTCATTTCAGATTAGAGGTCATATTGGAGTTAAGTCTGTGCCCCCTAAGGACAGGTTTGTTACCAAGGCTTGCACCATCAAACAGTGGAACAGGAGACGTGGAGAAACAGCTGGTTAAAATGCAATGAAGGAAATATTTTGCTTCCCTCTGAGTTGGGTGGATTACCTACCCTCCTTATTCATATTTTATAGGTTCCTAAGAGCAAGAGTGGAGAGGCCGCCAAAGTGGCTATTGATGTAGGTTTCCGTCACTTTGACTCAACACACCTCTATCAAAATGTGGAGGAGATCAGCAAGGCCCTTTGAGAGAAGATGGTGGATGGTACTGTGAAAAGAGACAACATATTATACGCCACCAAGGTGCTGTGGGCCGAGTGACAAGAGGTTGCTGTCAGACATGTTATTTTGAAAAAAAATATATTTGGTCTTGGTTCGAATAATATATTTATCTCCTGAAACCTTGTAGAGGCCCATTGTAGAAAAACAGAAAACAGAAAAGGCTTGCATTGCCCTGAAATGTGTTAAGAGTGGGACCCAGTTGCTTAAACTTTTTGCATATCAGTCGGCCTTCATATGTAAAACACAAATAATGATACTTTTCCTCTATATGAGATGCTGTGGAGTGAGTCCACTCCTTTTATTCTTCGGCAAATTCTCTCAGGACATATCCAAGTGAGGCTGACGTATTATTAGGAAAGGGAGCCAGATTAGGAAATACTTTTTTCAAGTTAGCATTGAGTTTACTGAAATGTGTACAATTTTCTGAGATGGAAAATCCTGCTTCCAATGTCAAGAGAGCTGAGGTCTCTATAGAATGATCCTATGTATTTTGACATCAGTGATAACGTGTTCTTAGCATGTAGGCCTCTCAGCAGCACTGTTTCCAGGCATTTATTATATGAGACAGTAGGTTCCATTTCCCCTTGCCTGACATTTCTTGACTCTCCTTCCAGAGATGAGTTTTCTGATCCTTGAAACATTTAGGTTGCTTTTCCTGGACCATCTGAGTATTAGTCACAGTTTTCGTATAGACTCTCAAATACATCTCAGTTTCCATTAATGAGCACATTTATAAAAGTCACACAAATTTAGCCCCAGCACCTCTTAATTTTAGACCGCTATAGTGGTTTGTTAATTCTTAACATTTTAACTATGAGGTTCAATTTGGTGTGAGATGTGAGATGTGAGAAATCATAAGCCATATTTTTATTTCTTTTGGTCATTACAGCTTTGGGCTACTTTTCTTTGCCAAGAATTGGTTCAACCAGCCCAGGAAGATCGTTGAAGAAACTTGGACTGGACTTCATAGATCTCTTCATCATTCTTGTGCCAATCACTTTGAAGGTCAGCTTCTGCTTTTCCTTGTTATGCCCAAGTGTATTTCATCACTGCTGTTGCACTTCCATTCTCTCATTCTGGCTGGGTTTTCCGGGTTCTTACTGAGAGAGGTAGGTTTGAGTGAGGAGAATAGAATTGCTAAATGATTCATGAGTCTACTTGACACTTGCATCACTTCACCATCAAGATTTTTTTAATCCTCATCCCATAGCCTTCAGAAGGGTTTAAGTTCAATGATCTCCCTGTCTCCATCTCAAAGAGTTGAGGACACCACCTTACATGTCCAAGTGATATGTTTCTGTCTGTGGTCTGTTAGTGATCAGCGTTCTTCAAGAAAATTGAGTTACAAAAGACTGCAGAGATACACTGGGAAATCCCCACCTCTTTAGAGGGAAGCCCACCAATTTGGACCTCTGAGGCCCAATCAAGAGGGAGGTACCATGGGATGGTCCATATTACACAGCTGGGCTCCTTTGGGCTTCACCGATCCAATGTCTCATCACAGTGGATGTTCCCTGAGCACACCGGGTATCTTCACTATCTCTGACTTGGGTTATCATAAACTGGAGCTAAAACACCTTGCTCAGTAGTAAAGGTAAGTCTTGTCATCCAAACAAGCCTGTCCCTGGGAAATAAAATCAATTCCAACTGTAGGGAAATTCATTATTAGAGAATTTCAGGGGTGGGTGTACATAGGAAGGTGGAGGTCACTGGTTAGAGGTACTTTGCTACAGTCTCTCTGGTGATTCTTATCTTCCTTCCCCCCTGTGTCTTCTCTTACACAACACACACATACACCCTCACACACACATAAACACGCAAACACTCAGATTAGCCTCTTGAAGGTTTTGTGACCAAGCTCCTTAGGCACAAGAGAAATAATTCTTTAAAAAAAAAAAACTCTCTTCTTCATCCTCTCTCCCTTCTGTACTCCAGCCTGAGGATGGGCTTGTGCTAAAGGATGCCAGATGGGAAATTATTTTAGATACAGTGGACTTTCCTGACACATGAGAGATAAGTACTGTTGTTGACACTCAAGAGGCGCAGGGGCACAAGACAGAAATCACTGGATGGGAGAGTCAGAAGAAATAAGTTCTGGCCCCATCAGCTGTCTGCCCTCAGTCACATTGCTGCACTTCTCTGTACCGTGATGTTCTCATCTGTAAAGGAAGGGAGCCGAATGGAATGACCTCTAAGGCCTATTTTTCATCTAAACTTCTGTGGTTCTAAGTAGGGGTTTCTTTGCCCTCTGATCAGGTAGAGCCTTGGAGCGCTATAACGGGATCATCAGAGCAAACATATGAGGAGTTAGAGCTCCATCCCAGGACTGACAAACAGGCCCATGAAGGAAGGAATGCTGTGTCTGACTTAGTAGAAGAGTGGACTGTAGAACAAGAGTGAAACCTGCCCTTATGTAGCCTTTCCCACCACATTTTTCACCATACTAGGAAAAAGCAAACAGCTAAACCCTCTACTAGGACAACCTGAGAGTTTCTCTTTGCCCATGACTCTGACACCTTTTGTTAAGAACTATTAGATGTCTTCCAGCAAAATAGACACATGGAAGAAGATTGGGAGGGGAATTGAAAAGCATCTTCATGTCTATTTATCATCCTAGGTATGCTTGTAATGGAAGCAAGGTGATAAAGTATGTGTGTATAGCAATAAATAACATTAGGAAATAACATATCCAAGTGATAAAATGAGTTCTGCCAAATCGTGATATATGTGATAAGAGATTTCCAGTTTTTACAACATTCAATATCAAATGAAAGGGCCAAAGAACACAAAAAGTGTACATACATTACCCTCCTCCTCAGGTCCTGGAGAAGTGTAAAGATGCAGGATTAACCAAGTCCATTGGGGTGTCCAATTTCAACCACAAACAGCTGCAGATGATCCTGAACAAGCCAGGGCTCAAGTATAAGTCCTTCTGCAACCAGGTGAGCCCGGAACCCACTGGGGCTTCCTTGTTTTCCACTCTTCACGCCCTCTTCCTTAAGTAACAGTCCACAAATCTCTGGCTTGATGTCAACTGTGTAATGATAGTTCATTTTATTTTCACAGGAAATATCAAATACGGAATAGGTTGACTGGTGTGGGAAAAGTATTGCTTCAATTCTTCAGAGGTGGGTGTGAGGTTCCTATGAGACATCCAAGTGGAGATGCTGAGTTGGCAGATGGCAATAGTGGTCTGGAGTTGAGGAAGGTGGTCCAGGCTGGGGGTACAGATTTTGGAGTTGTTGCTTTATGGATGGTAATTAACCTCGTGGAAGTGGATCTACCGTCCTGGGAAAGTTCATAGAATGAACAGGAAGAGGGCAGGAAAGTCAACATTTAAGGATCAGGCCAAGAGGCACTGGTTAGGAAGTTGAAGAGGAGTTGCTTGACAGGGAGAGAGAAAATGAGGAGAGTGTGGTGTCAGTGAAGTCAAAGAAGAGGGATGAACATGTTTGCGTGAGCCATAGGGTGGGTCCTGCTAGGAAGCAGCCAATCCAAACAGGGATGGAAACAGTTATTGGATTTAATGACATGGAGCTCATGGAACCTCACAGGAGCAGTTACAGAGAGGTGAGAGAAAAAGCCAGAGAGAAAAGCAAAGGAGTGGAAAATGAGGAAATAGAGAAATCTCAATGAAAATAAATAATTTCTATAAATAACACCCAATGCTGCCAATTTTTAAACACTGTGACATTGTAAAGCTGTATAGCTGTTTTTGTGAAACAGTTTGAAAATCATGCAAGAGATCATTCAAATATTTATACTCTTTGTCTTAATTATTTCACTTCTAGGAATCTATTTGTAGAAAGTTATTCAAAATATGTTAAAATATGTCCCTCCCATTTTCTCTCCTCCTCCTCCTCCTTCTTTTTCTGTTTCTCTCCAATTTATTTGTGAAAGAAACTAAGCTTTTTTCCTTTAACTTTTCCCACACAGTTAATGTTATTGATTGATCCCTGTGAGACAGTTTGATATGATACTGTGTTTTGTACCCGTGTACATTGGAGGTTACACCTAAGGACTTGATCGCATGTGTATGTCATTGTGAATTCATGAATTTTAACAAATACAATGTTTTCCCATCCCATGCAGTCACTTTTCTTATTGACGATCAATTGGCCACCATTTTATTGCCTCTTCAAGTGAGCTCCTGAGTCCTCTGACATGCCTCATCATCTTTCTTATCCTCTTCGCTTTCTAGAGTGTAAGATATTCTAGGCTCAATTTGTGGCTTTTTTTCCACATCTAGAATCAGCCATTTTTCTAAGGAATCTTAGTTTCTTCCAGCAGAAAATGACATTTAGAGGCCACAGACTGGTTGTATGAGTCTTTACCTACTATAAACACTAATAAAAATATAAGAAGAGAATTGTTTGATCATTCTTGAAAACCAAGAACATTTGAAGGTATTTCAGAAAGTGCATGGGAAAAAAGCATCAATCTGAAAAATATAGTCCATAGATTAATGTAGTGTTAGATATTCCTCCAAAAGACTTTTCAAATTTACATGTTATTACATCATATATTCTGATATCTTTTGGTCTTGACATCTTACAGGTGGAATGTCACCCTTACTTCAAGCAGAGAAAACTGCTGGAATTCTATAAGTTCAAAAACGTTGTAGTTGCCTAGAGTGCCCTGAGCTCCCAAAGTGAGCCAAACTGGTAATGAGAATATCAGAATGAATCTAGATCCACAACTCTACTGATGAAGAAACCCTTTTTCAAAGTTAAGTTTTAAATTTTATCATGGAGTTTCAAACATAAATGAGTGAACACAATAGTGTAGTGATCAATGGATGAATGGATAAACAAGATGTGGTATATATACACAATGAAATAGTAGTCAGCCATGAAGAAGATGAAACATTGCCATTTGTGACAAT